TACAATACTTGATGCGTCTATATTGTTGTTCCTCCGCTGAAGTTCTCGACAGATAAGCATGTTGCCGGAGCCATGCAATTCACGCAGTCGGATGTGCACGGCCTGGTCTGAAGTCATAGATACAGTCATGAGCGTGTGACATCGCCATGACTTCTCCATCACTGCCTCAGCTCAACCGCCACCACTGGACTGCCTTTTTACACTCTTTTTATTGACGAATAAACAAGAACACGGAAAACGACTACATCTTGACAAGACGACAGACCAAAGACTAGCTCACACAGTTTCGCGCATGCGGACAACACCACCAACCAATGACGCGTGTCCACAGCGACCAAGACGAAACAAACACGTGACACCAAATCTACCACAATGTGGATGTCTATGTGTGTGTGCATGTACATTCGTGTGTGCTTATGTGCGTGTGTGTTTTCTTGTGCTCAATGCGGCACCAGGTGGAAAAGATGAAGGCCATCTACTACACGCTGAACCTGTTCAACGTGGACGTCACCCAGCAATGTCTGATTGGTGAATGCTGGTGTCCAGTTGGTGACCTGGATGCCATTCAGTATGCTTTGCGACAAGGACATGTAAGAGAGACATGCGTGCAGTAATAAGGCCAGTGTCTATGGCCGTACTTACAGTAGAAGTGTCCACCACGATAGGACTGACAGCAGCAGCAACACTAGGGGGCAATACACAGACACGTATTTTCGTGTTGAAGTAGGAGGTACGATATGCTCAGTAACGATTAATGTATAGTGAGTGTTTGTGCTTTCTAACACCCCCCCCCCCTCCCCCCTCCCCACCCCCTCCCCCCTCCCCACCCCCTCCCCCCTCCCCACCCCCTCCCAATTTCCACCCGTCACCACCACTCTCACTAGTACCCGCGACTGGTGCACAGAATCCGCTATGTACAACAATACCATCACTTCCCTGACAGTGCGAGTTCACTCTTTCCTTTTGGAGTTCTACCATACATGTACATGCAGCTCCCACACGGTCTAGTGGTTAGGATTCGGCGCTCTCACTGCCGTGGCCCGTCTTTGATCCGGTGTGGGACCTTTTTAACAACTACTTTCTTGAAGTTTTTTTCAATAGACAGTTGCTGCTCTGGTTGTCTAACCACAGGAACGCAGTGGCGCAGCAGTGGCTCCCATTCTCAATGTGGTGGACACGCAAATGAACCCGCCAACCTACAACAAAGTGAACAAGTTCACCACGGGCTTCCAGAACATCATTGACGCGTATGGCGTGGCCACCTATCAGGAAGTCAACCCAGGTAGGAGAAGCATTGTAATGCTGGTCTCTCACATAGCGTACTCGTCAGGCCCGCCGGAACCGGTCCGCTTGATGAGGTTAACACCGGACCAACTGTGTAGCTACCAACGCTGAGGAGGGACGTATGTTCCCGTCATACTATACACAAAATATCAAAGACTATGGTATGACCAGACCAATTGAAAACTGCTTCTGGCGGTGCTGCTTGTATGTATGTACCGTATCGCGTGATCAGTAGCGCCCCTGGGGCACTACTTTTTCCATGTCCATCACAGATGGGGCACTGTTCAAGAGAGGGCACTATTTTTCAATGCTGGCACATTTATGTCGTCCCGCATACAAACAAACAAGGCAAAGAAAAAACAGAGTCTAAAGTTTACTGTGAACTATCATGACTCAACAGAAAGGGAAACAAGAACTGTGATCTTTGATCCTGAAACCACCAGTGCAATGACATGAACAAGAACATTAAAAGCAAAAGAACATCAACCTTGCACAAACTTTTGTCTCCTCGTCGACTCTTCAAAGAAAAAATTGAACTTGAAAATAATACGAAGCACCAACATCATTGTCCTGACTACAAGAGTGACTTTAACTACACTCACAGCAGCAGCAGCAGCAGCAGCAACAGCAGCAGTAGCAGCAGCAGCAGCAGCAGCAGCAGCAGCGGTTATAGGTGTCCTGGGCCACTCTGAAATGGTTATGAAGTCAGTGTAGTCTCAGTGTCAGTGTCAGTGGGGTATGCCTGAATGCCCTGACTACTATGAGATTATCACGTTGCAGGCCTGTGATGATACGGGTATGTTATGTTGACCGTTGATCTTGCCCGCTGTTTCTTTCCCGTTGCAGCCCCGTTCTCCATCATCACCTTCCCGTTCCTGTTCGCCGTGATGTTTGGTGACTGCGGCCATGGTCTGCTGATGTTTCTTTTTGCCCTGGCCCTCGTCGTGAAGGAGAAGCAGCTGGCGAGTTACAAGGGAGGCGGCGAGGTCAGTATTTGCATGGATGTCACTCTCAAGTACCCGCACGCCTTATAGCCATGTTGAAGGCGGTGAACCATAAGGACTACAGAGATTTCACGCGTTGACATCTGTTACACGGAAGATTGTGTCATGTGGGTGCGGATAGTGCACCATGTACTTCAGTATGCCCAGCTGACTGACGTAAATGTTCTACCTGTGCTCTCTGTGTTTGATGTGGCATGTCGTCGATTCAGATCTTCGGTACGTTCTACAGTGGCCGCTATATCATTCTCTTCATGGGCCTGTTCTCCATGTACACCGGGCTGCTGTACAACGACTGCTTCTCCAAATCATTCAACATCTTCGGATCCTCGTGGCATGTCAGTACTAGGTATGTGTGCCTATAGTAAATGAGTGTGACTGTCCTGTCATGTCTGCATTTCGTTTGTTGGAGGAGTGAGAGAATGAGGACTACCGGCTTTGGAATTGGATAGGAGCCGGTGTTCATCACGCTGGGACAGAAGCAGGTGGTTTCTTGCAGTAATGCAGCGTGCCCTGTACCTAGTCTGGTAATGGTCATCTCCTCGAATAAACCATCACTATTGCGCTCTTTGTCAGCTGCCGGGACATAGGATTTGATAGAACATGCAACGAACTGCTACAATCATTCTATTTTCTGCGTTCCTATCACTCAGGCACAACTAGGAATTTCGATACATGTACTCGGACTCAAAAGATGAGCACATGTGTTAGAGTTTGAGTGAGTGTGTGTGTGTGTGTGTGTGTGTGTGTGTGTCTGTCTGTCTGTCTGTCTGTCTGCCTGTCTGTATGTCTGTCTGTCTGTCTGTCTGCCTGTCTGTCTGTCTGTCTGTCTGTCTGTCTGTCTGTCTGTCTGTCTGCCTTTCTGTCTGTCTGGCTGTCGACTCTCTAGACCAACCCGGGATAGTCCCGATGTGATTTACCTTGCCCCTGAAGACATGGACACGCGCAATCCCTATCCATTTGGCATTGATCCAGTAAGTAAACATACTGTACATGGTACTGCTGCTATGAATACTTTTCATATTATTGCTAGCAAAAAAGAAGAAGTATAAAACTTGACTTTTTCCTCTGCACGTTACCTTATCTAAGTTATCTTACCCCATTGGGAACTGGTGATGTAATTATTGTAAAGTCTTGTACAAATAGCCCACTATAGTCCCTGCAATCATGGCTGAAAAGGAACTATACAATCCCTGAGGTCTTACAAGTATCCGTGGCACTTTGTCGTCTATGTAACTTTTGAAAGTGTTTTTCTAAACCTGCGGGCTGCTGGTATTTTGTCCTTTGTTGACTGATCAGTACAGCACAGAGAAATGAGGATGAACCCGGTAGCACTTTCCTTTGTGTTTCTGTGTAGATCTGGCAGGTTGCCGAGAACAAACTTACGTTCACCAACTCTTACAAGATGAAAATGTCCGTGATCCTCGGCGTCACGCAGATGATGTTTGGTGTTGTTCTGGGCGCATTTAACCATGTGTAAGTTCTGCGGTGCACAGTACAGTACAGCGCATGCAGTGCACTACAGTGCAGCACAGTACAATACAGTACAGCGCATACAGTGCAATACAGCGCCTGCAGTGCAGTACGGTGCAGTGCATACAGTACTTCACACTTGTTTTTGAATGGACAGTAGGCCGGTAGGAAGGCACTGTACGGTGGTAAGAGCCGACGTCATGCATAAGCATCAGTTAACGTACTCGGGGAATGTTGTGAGAGAGGTCTATTGTCCTGCGGAATATGATGAGCAGTGTATGTGGTGACCACTGGACAAACTGAGCAAATACCACTGAAGTCACAGTGACACTGTTATAACTTATACTGCTCTTGAAGTAGCTCTATCGACCCAGCAAGGCTGTATCACCTACACTGTACGCTCCGGCTCTGCCACACTGCACCATGGTGTTCTGAAATTGTTAGGATGTGCCCTATATTGCGGTCTGATCTCCTAGCATCTTCACATACGAGTGTACTCCGGCACTGCTAGATTGCTATTTGCTTCACACTGTCTCGCAGGTTCTTCAAGAAGTATCTGAACATATTTGCCAGTTTCATTCCGGAGGTAAGCTGCTTGTGAAGGCAAGGCTGTTTAGTCGATGGTGCGCTATGGAGTATTGCCTTGGGATATGAGGCAATGTATTCAGGAGGGGTGGAAAGCACGAACGCAGGCCACGTTTATGTAGTCTTGCCATGTTGTTGCTTAAAACTGTTATAACAACGAGAATTTGGAATAGGATGCGAGTGTTCCAGCATACCTGATAAAGAAAGAAGGCCAGGGATGGTAACGGTCATGACACATTGGGGAAAGGAGACGGCGAAGTAGAAGAATAAGATGAGGAGGAGGATTCATGATCACCGTGCAAATGAATTCACCTATCTCCTATTCATACTGCTACACATCTGTCTGAGTGCTCTCGCTCTCTCTCACACACACATACACACTCTGTATCTCTCCTTTTTTTCACCCAGTGTTCTCCTAATGTAGCTGCCATCACAAACCATGCATTCTTGGCATTACTTTATCATTCTAGTATGCTGAAGAGAAGCGTATTCTAAATTCTATTCTCTGTGCTACCATGATCCTGAGCCAAGCCTAACTCGTAAAGTCCATGCTGCATACTTTTCATGCGTTGCCCTTTCCAGGTGATCTTTCTGGGCAGCTTGTTTGGATACTTGGTAGTTATGATCATCTTCAAGTGGGTTACAATAGATTCAACCTTCAATTCCAACTTGTCTGGGGTGAGTGTGTTTTCTCTTGGAGTCTGTCTTCTGAAGAAAACATTGCTACTGGTGCAGTTATTTACTACAGTGCATAGTCCAGTAGGCATGGTCTTGTCGGAGACGGTGACATGTGTGTATTACATCATGTTTGATTAATGACTGAACATGACGATGTTCTTTTACTTGGCTTGGAAGACCCTTTTGTTATTTCTCCAGTGCCCCCCCCCCCCCCTCCCCCGGTATATCGTTTTAGGACTTGAATCTCTTCTTGTATCCTTGAAATAGACTGCGAAGTGTTGACTCATGTTTGCCCGTCCCTCTGGTATTCACTTCAGGCTCCTCAGCTGTTGCTGATGCTTATTAACATGTTCCTGAAGTTTGGATCGACCTACAACCCGGATAGCTACGAAGACCAAGCGGAAAGGTTGTATGACGGACAGGTTGGTTCCGTGCTTTTTGATTCTTCTCTCTTTGTCTGGCCAATCCAGGCTTGAATGCTAGAACCCATCCTGCATGTTATGAAGCTGGAGTGTCCTCTTCATCCACAGAACCACTCGGAGGCCACCTAGCATTTCCTGACCAGTATCTGTTACCGGCAACTAGCTCAATTGTCATTGGGAAAAGCTAGTCCAACACAGTTCCACTAGGATATTCCGCTCTGAAAGAGCACGTCATGTGCTTAGGTACACTGTATCACTATGGGTGCTCTATTTCTTGCCCGCCTGTGCAGAAAACGGTGCAGACCTTCCTGGTGGTGATCGCAGTACTCGCTGTTCCGTGGATGCTTCTGACCAAGCCGATCGCACTATCCGTCATGAAGCGCATGAAGCGTAAATCGGTAAGAGCTAGCTTCTAGCGGCGACTCAGCCTCGGGGAACTGTTATGATATTGTCTATATGCTGGTTTTGTTTGTTTTCAAATTCCTTTACCAGTCTTGTACAAGCACGCAGTGTTGCAAGCAAAGACATCGGGGACCTGGAAAAGTACACGTATACTGATATTGGTGTTGCTCGATCTAAAGACAATACTCTTTATCATTTCGGACTTAGCCACACAGCACAGGAATGCAAGGCTACGTGCATCAGTGGTGGCTTTGAAACTAGCAAAGTCAGATATTAGACCCAAACGTTTTTTTGGAGCAGACAAACAGACAAAATCATACTTGCATAATTAAAAATTCCATGGAACTCTCCCCCAAAGAAAGATACACACGATCGGTGCAATGCATACATGTATGCTCATGCACGTCATTGTCTTCTTTTCATTTGACATAGTCATATGTGGAGTTTGACAAGATGGAAACCGACGCCAAGTTTGAAGAAGGAGACGAGGCTGATGAAGAAGGCAATGATCATTCGGTAAGTTCGGTTTGTGTATAGTTGACTTCACCTGATTTGACTGAATAATGCTACCTTCACTTTTTTGATACTTTACTTCAAAGGCATTATGCTACTGTGCTGAATGGGAATGTTGTTGCTGTGACAATTTTGTAAGCTACATGCTTGGTCTGCTGTAGTGCAGGGTACAAAACATGTCCTTGCCTGGTTCTGCTTGTCTGGTTGCTTGCTACAGGACAACATCGGCGACATATTCATCCACCAAGGCATCCACACCATTGAGTTCTGCCTGGGTTGCGTGTCCAACACTGCATCCTACCTGCGTCTCTGGGCTCTCAGCCTGGCCCATGCTGGTGAGTGTGCGTGTGACGTTCTGAACAGCGACCTTCAGGGGCTGGGCCCTGCCGCTGGAAAAGCCTGCCTTGCATGACACCAGGAGGCAGTGATTCATCTATGAGTTCTCAGCACATCATGGCTGAATTGAGACTGTTCAAATCACTGAACTGCACTCACTTGTTAGCATTAACTATTCACCTATAGTAAAAGCCTCACCATCACTATGCTCCCATTATGCAGTTTTTTTTGTCTTGGCCTGTGAGCTGTGATCATTGTAAAAAATGAAAAAGGTGGTGGCAACTGAAATCCGACCCCTGATTTGTTATACTCGAGTGCAGCAGCGATTCTAGCGGTCTCTATTCCGTAGTGTTACGAGCGTGTGCTGGGTCTTTGCAATGTGAGTGCACTGAGTTGGGGTCGAATTTCAGTTGCCAGCACTGTAAGGTGCATTGCTAATCCTTCAGCTATTGTTATGTACAGGGTTGGCTGAGTGTGTGCCGTGTTTGCCATGTGAACCACTGTTGAAACAGAATTGTCTGAAGTCTTGTGGGAGATGATGTTTCACCTTGGCTTGAAGCAGCCAAGCCTGCTGGGCATCTTCGCTGCCTTTGGCACATTCTTTATCTGGGCAGGTAAGTCTCTTGCAGTGGTCACACAGTGGCTGCACAAAAACACTATAAACAAAATGCATATGTAAATAGACAATTACAGATTGGGAGTCAGTCAGATTGACCGGCATACCTGCACAGGAACATCACCGACACCCCCCCCCCCCCCCCCCCCGCAGAAAAACAAAACAAAAACAAAGCCAAGAACAGTTACCGGTATCCTATGATGGTTTATCCTTCGATGTTTGTCATGGCTAGCAGAGCAATGCCTTCCATCTACAATGAACTACACATAGTGCGGTGCTTGCTTATGATATCCCGACAACTGCCGAAGTGACTGTGAGTTAGCGTGTGTGTACCTGCCTTTGTTTGACCAGCCCGCACTGACAATTGCTACCATGCTAACGTTTTCTTGTGTTGTTCCTCAGCCTTGACCATTGCCATTCTTCTGATCATGGAGGGTCTGTCGGCATTCTTGCATGCCCTGCGTTTGCATTGGTAAGCCGTTTGTGTTGTGTTGACTGATCCCTTTTTAGTATTCGGATCAACAGTGCAATGCGATGCTAAGCTGCCATAGCATCAACAGTGTACTGGTAAAGTTTCCCAGCTCTTGCCACTCTTGCCACAACTTGTGTACACACACTGTCCTACAACCATGTCACTTATGCTGACCAATTATTTAGTTTTCTTGACCACACTGCATGGGGCTGATTGCATGTTAAAAAAATAAGCTGTAGTGAATGTATGAGTCACAAGTTGTGTTGTGCACGCCAGGACCCGATGCACTGTCAATTCTTGATATGTTGTATCCTCCCCGTTTCTCTCCCTGTCTCTCTCTCTCTCCCTCCCTCTCCCCCCCCCCTCTCTCTCTCTCTCTCTCTCTCTCTCTCTCTCTCTCTCTCTCTCTCTCTCTTTCTTTCTTTCTTTCTCTCTCTCTCTCTCCCTGTCTCTCTCTCTCTCTCTCTCTCTCTCTCTCTCTCTCTCTCTCTCTCTCTCTCTCTTCTCTCACCAGGGTGGAATTCAACAACAAATTTTATGCCGGGGAAGGCTACAAGTTCCAGCCATTCTCCTTCAAGCTGATCCTGGAAGGAGGACAGGAGGACTGAGCAGATGTTTGCAGCGAAGCACTACTATTCCACTCATTATCAGCATTACTTCAAGTTGGGCCAGATGGCATTACATAGGATTGCATGATCGTCTAAAGCAGTTATCCCTAGCAGTACAAGGCCTTTCAGAGTTTTTCTCGTATATATAATGACGGTATGCCATTGTAGCCGATCAGTTCTTAGCAGTATCATTATTACATTGGTTTTCTCGAAAGACAAGCATGTCTAGGACGTGCAATGTACAAGTTATGCTTGTGACACATACGTCATAATCAAGAATTACCGTCTGAAAAAGTCGTATCACTATAACTAGTCTTCTCTCAACCATTCAAGATCCGGATTGCAGCATAGTTCAACAAGCCTTTCTGCAATCGTTTACTCTTCCAAGCAAGCAGCGTGTATTACCTTGCAGCATTTTCACTGTAATAATTATGTAACACTGGCATTGACTCAAGTATCTCCGCTATTTCTATGTTCACCTGTATACCATAACTTTGCTCATTCAGGCTGAATCTGACATTAAAATTATATATAATATTAATTTTCTCATAGCTTTGAAATTTGGTTAACGTGAACTTTGTGTTGCCATGACAATCAAAGGTATGAATGCTACATCAATGCCCAGTGGATAAAAGGTGTCATACCGTAATTCCGCAGGTAAAAGCCCATATCTTATATGGGCCATGGGCGTATATGTGAAATAATGCGGTTGGGTGTAAAATATGCAGTGAAAATTGTTCGTTTTCTAGATCCGGGCCAATATTCGAATTTTGAAGGCACGCGAAAAATTACAAGTCCATGGGCGTAATGAGACAACTGTACTGTTCTGGTATCCTTTCACTGACCTACTGTACCGTGGTGGCAATAGTCCACATTGTGAAAATTTTCTACCTGACAAGCGAGTCGTATTTGTGTCTGCTTATTAGCCCATGGGCGTACACGTATATCCGAATGCAGGCCCGTGCGCTTATACCGGTAAGTTATATGCGCGGAATTACGGACATGCACATGACGAAGTGGTGTGCGCCGAATGGACCCAGCATTCATGTCATGATGTGGCCAAAGACCGAGAATCCTATTGCCATTTGCCGTACAAGGCGTTCAGATACTTCTTACCCCTGCCCGGCTGTCAGTACCTAAAATATTCTGATTTGCAAAGTGACCGGGGGAGGGGGGGGGGGGGCAACACAGTCAGAAAGAAAAGGAAGTTCCCTTTCCGAGCCGGATAGGACCCTGCAGCTGCAGTACTTTGCAGATACTGTATACTCTCTGCTTCTCAATCATACTCCTCGTAGATCATTCCACATTTCAACCTGCTTCACAAGTACTGACTTGTCATTGTTTGTGTTGAGCCCCGGTGGGAGCCTCTATTGGTAATCTGAGTACAACATTAATAGTGCAACAATCTACCACCAGCAATCCGGATTCACCTCACAAGACGCACATGGAAATCCAGCCGGATTGTAGCTCCCTGGCTTGCATACTGCTGCACGGTAGCAAAGCCGTTTTCAATGAAAGATAATCTTCACATAGTCACGGTAGTGTGTTTGGGTAAACTACAAGTAACTTACTGCTAAAATACCTAATACGTGAACTACAACCTACTACTACAATCACTGCTACTTCTTTGCAGTGCATGTGATAGGGAAATGATATATTCTAAGTTCTAACGTGACTACTTCGAAGTACACAGTAAAACAATTTCAAATTCAAGCCTGCGTTGTACTGGACTGCCATCAAGTAAAAAAAGCAAAATACTATCACTACTCAAGCTGTGCATGTCAATCCATGATGCAGTGGACTTGCACGGAGTGTTATTGCAACAATGCACAAAGAGGACTAAGGTACTGGACAGCTCAGGCAAGCGGTTTCAAAACTCAATCAACACAAGGTACATGTATGTACAAGTAGCATCATGACAAAACAACAACAGCTGCTGACTGGATTAGTCTTGCAGCCAGTCGTTGGAGCCGGCCACGGGCAGTTGCGTTACAGCCTCCTGTTACCATGACTACAATTTTTTCTGTATTTGCCGGTCTGCTGTTTCAGAATTCCACAAGGTCACACACCATACTTCATAATGGCGTGGGTCACACTACCACTATGTCTTATGCATGATATGCAGCATATGTAGCTGAAGCGGATACGAGACCAGCTCTCCTGCAGGACAGATGGCACAAACGATTCGTAAGACTGAGAAGAAGCTACAAGCCTACATCGGTGAAACTAACGCTTCTTGTGTAAGAGCAAAAGAGCATGTCAAATGCTCCCGGGGCACACCAGCATTGTACGTGCAGTGACACCTGTCTAAGCCGACCGCCTAAGGGACCTTACCAATTATGTGGTCCCCGTGTACAGGTGGTCTCCATATCCAGGGTCATTTGTCTGGAAATCACAGCCCATGGTCCTAGTTGTAGTGGTCCTGTTGGACAGGTGGTCGCCTTATCAGAGTGGTCTCATCGACAGGTCTTCCTGTCCATGTCAGGTGGTCGCCTTATCAGAGTGGTCTCATCGACAGGTTTTCCTGTACATGTGGCCATGTGCATACTTACAATGATACTGCATGTTCATTTCTTACGAGTATAATGATAGAGAGTGACTGAGACCGTCAACATCGACCAACCATATCACATTATAGATAGTACTCACGCTTCCATGATGAAGACATCGCGGTTGATCATATTCTTGCGATATCCCACTGGCTGTTCATTGTACTGTGTTATTCCTAGATTTCCCATGGCTGGACAGAGGTGCCACACACGGATAGGAATAAGGTGTGAATGGCGCACAGAAAACAAAACAAATCCAAAATTAATAATCACATCTGGCAATGGATCCAAGGCCAGACACATGAGTGGAGATCATGGAGCCCACTGACACCAGTCCAAGTGATCATACATGTATCTGGATCCATGCTAGCCTATGCTAGGTAATGCTGTCTGGGATATGCACTGTTCGACAAACAATGTACTGTACAAGAAGAAATATTCGTCTGGAAGTTAATTTCGTCTTTTTCGTTCAAGGGGCTTTTGGACTAAATTAAATGCCGGACTAATATCGATTTGTCCAGCTTCTCAATACACTCTTATGATCCATTGACGAAATTTACAACCGGACGAACTCCCTTTCTTTGGAGTTGGACGAAATTATTGACCGACGGAATTTTCTGCTTGTACAGTACATGTACCTGCGGCGCACATACCACAGGGCAGGACGTACCCCCCCCCCCCCCCCTCAACACACACACACACACATCCAGCGGAAACACAACTCACCTTCTCTATACTGTGTGTAGGAAAGGTGACCAGTCCCAGGCACATCAAACATCTCGTACATTGACACGATGTTCTCTTCCGTGAAAACATTCGGACAAGCATCGGCATCTGCTGCATCCCGCGCCTGCTTCAGATCTTTCAAGAACTGTACAAGGAACTTTTTCGGGTTTTCTAGCACGCAACAACATGCACACAGGACTCAGGGCATGAGAAATAGTGTAATGTTATAAGCAGTACTTAGCAGTGTCTGCTCCAGGAGTTCAAACCAACCAGGTACAAGACTTAGTGTACCTGGCGTGACCCTTAAAACCGGGTCAGAGCCGGGTCAGAGCCGGGTCAGAGCCGGGTCAGAGGCGGGTCTGTTCTAGTGCGGCTACTGCATGTACATCGGTGAGTCGGTGAGCTGTAAAACATTTCGGACTCCCTGATGTATTCAGCGGCACTCGTATTCCCAACCGGGTCACATGTGACCCAGTGCTATTTTTCCAAACGACCAAGTACCCCCAACCGGGTCGCTAACTCGGCTCAGTCTGGGAGCAGACACTGCTTAGAGTAGCCCGGCTCAGTCTGGGAGCAGACACTGCTTAGAGTAGTCGAGTAGCTCCAATGTACAGTAAAACCTGGGTTTGCCGGACCCTGTACCAAGCGGAGTCCTGTATTGACCAGACAAATTGTCATGCACCGACGTGCGGTAGATTGAACTCGTATCCCTGGATCAAGCGGAATCCGGTCATAACAGGACCGTTTCCGCTGCACCAAGGGAGTCCGGTTAGGGCCGATTTCCACTACGGTACCGTGAGTGCTGTGCCGACGATTTGGGTGGGTCACGTGTACCCCACGGTACGAGCTTGAAGCTGAGAGTGATTTACACCTGCGCACTGTCGTGCCGTGCATCCTGTCGGCAGGCCAGATCACCATTTTTACCAATTTCTGACTTTGGTCTGGAGGGAAAATAGCGGGGGAGATGATTGGAGAAAGCTCAAAAATCAACCAATTGAAAAGCCAAAAGCCAAGAAAACACTTCGTACCACAAATACAAAAGAAAGAAAAAACTTCCTATCAGGAAGTAGTAAAATACCTACAACACACTGTATTCGACCTCACGGAATACCGCGGCATGCCATTTCCACCCCCCCCCCCCCCCCCAGAGACCCTCGGCACAGGAATGTCCACGGAGGTATGGCACGACCCACGGAATGAACTCGTGCCAAAACTGCCCCTCACGTGAGCAAATCACCATGGGTACTCACGGCACGGCACTCACGGTACTGTAGTGGAAATCGGCCCTCAGGGCAGGTTTGCTGCAGTAGCTCACGGTGCTGAGTAGTTGAGTACACCGTACACCGTACACTGTAGTTAGTGCTGTATTAGTTGTAGAATTCATGTACCGGGATCGGGTCTCACCTATGACTGATGAGCGCGAGCGGCTTTCTCGTCCGAACAAGCTGCCAAACTAGTCTTCCAACCCAGCTGGCGAGTTCAGAGCAGTTTTGTGCTAGTTAAAGGGGAAGTATACCCTAAAATCAAATTTTCACCAGTTGTAGTCTTCTGGGTGCTGAGTCGAATGGTCTTGGTCCGAGGAAGCTGCGACGCTCCCTTCCTACTTGAATCCCAATCGAACTCGCGCACTTCCACCGAAACTGGGTGACTGCGCCCCACGAGATGGGGATTTGTATGCAAAATGTCAATAAAAGCGCCATTTCGTTCTTATAAAAGCAGGGATGACCGCGATTGACCCATATGTTGTAGTCTTTTGGACGCTGAGTCGACTGGTTTTGGTCCGAAAAGGCTGCGATGCAGCGTTCCTCCTTTATTCCCAATCGAACATGGTTGAACAAGCGGTCACGTGCTCCTGGGTGCCCAAATCACCTGGTCACCGCGCCAGCAGGCGGCAACTTTCACACCAAGGTTCAACTCGAGTTCAACTCGAGTGACAGGACTGCACCCAAAAAAGGTCAAACAGGCTAGTAAGTTGTACCCTGCAGGCACGGTGACCAGCTGACTGGTGTACGCAGGAGCACGTGACCGCTTGTTCAACCATGTTCGATTGGGAATAAAGGAGGAACGCTGCATCGCAGCCTTTTCGGACCAAAACCAGTCGACTCAGCGTCCAAAAGACTACAACATATGGGCCAATCGCGGTCATCCGTGCTTTTATAAGAACGAAATGGCGCTTTTAGTGACATTTTGCATACAAATCCCCATCTAGTAGGGCGCAGTCACCCAGTTTCGGTGGAAGTGCGCGAGTTCAATTGGGATTCAAGTAGGAAGGGAGCGTCTCAGCTTCCTCGGACCAAGACCATTCGACTCAGCACCCCGAAGACTACAACTGGTGAAAATTTGATTTTAGGGTATACTTCCCCTTTAACGAGCTAGCAAGTGTCCTTTTTCTTCGCACATCGTGCTGTGTTATGTTGCCCACTAGCCACCACTGCACTAGAACATCAAGACTGTTGATCGCCAACAGTGGCAACAGTGGTCTGGGCTTAGCAGTACTTACCAGGCTGTTCGTTGACCAGGGCGGCGGTGGCGTTCACGAACAACTCTTGCAGCTTGTGCTCTTTCACGTACTCTTTGGCACCCATTGCCGAGTCCTTCTCGGTGATCTTCGCAGTTCTGCGATTCACAGGCGGCATCAGTGTTGCAGTGGCTATAGTACCGTGCACTGCACACCTAGTAACAGGTCAACTTCACTTGAACAGATGTTTCCCCACTCAAGACCGAACGGCGGTGCTCGTGCACGGACGCCGCGTGACTTCAAAACTACAAAGAGTACAAACCTGACTTCAAAACTACAAAGAGTACAAACCTGTACTCCCCTGAATCTCAGTACTGTATTCAGCAGAACCTATTGTCGTGTCAGAAAGGCTGCTTGAACTAGCTACTTGCTCGACGGTGCACGCGTGGCAGAACAACGACTGCTGCAGTTCAATTTCACAAGTCTTGGTTCAGTTCAGCTTCAACCAGAATTACATGTACTGTAATACCGGCCCATATATATTTTAATTGCAGGGAGTGGAAAGGTTGACACGACGTTACTTAGGATACAACGCTTGGCTTATGTCCTCGTGAAAGGTGCCAGTTCTGAAATCTTTTGAACTAACTACTTTAGTAACTAGTTTGAGTTTGACGTTCGTCTGCACACGACATGACAGGAGAAGCCTCTCACAGTCCGGCTCAGATAAGAAGGCTGCAACTGTTAGTTTCTGCTGTTGAGCTTGCACGCGTCCTACAAACACACAAAACTATGGCGACGCACACACGTCGTGCGATCCGGACCGCGAACCGCGTACCGGTACCTTGAGTCCGACTGTGACGTAATCGAAGAGACTGCAATGCGCAAAAATGAACAAAGAAGGGAAGAAAACGACGACGTCCGAGTAGGTGTTCGTGTAGTACACATGACATGGTACATGTAGTAGGAGAATCCATAAATACAAATACAAAAATAATAGTCTTTTCAGACAGCTTGCCTTTTATTTTGACATCGAGAACAGAAAACGAGAGGGGCAGGATAGGTCAGAGGGGTGTCCGTGATCGCTCTTTGTGGACTACTCACCAGTGGGGGTTTCCTAGCTTTCCCTTCGATCTTCAAGCAGAAGCTGCAGGGTTGGTTGAAGCCAGCACTGAGGCCGGGCTCAGATCCGGACCATTCATAAGAAATTCGAAAATCCATGTACTATAGTAAACCAATATTTTTTTTAAATGGTAGCAGAATGCTGATCGGGGTTTCCTGAGCAAGTATCGCTAGTTGATCATACTGGAAAGCTAGCAGTATGGATGAGGATATCATCGAGGATGAGCTGAGTGATGGAGAGTTAGATGACACCGAACTGCCAGATGGCTGGGACGAAGGCATTACGGATGACGGCAAAGTGTTCTATGTCTGGTATGTGCCTACAACCTATCAATTTATGACTTACGCGTAGTACATCATACTCTGCGACAAGATGGTGGACAAATCATGGAAAAAGAAAATGTGAAATATCACACAATGAACACTAGATGCAGCGTGTATAGAGTGCACGCAGAAAAAAAGGGAAGATCTGGTGGGAGTTTAGGCACCCAAGGTGGCAGAAATCTTATCTGTTCATGTGGAGATGATTCCAGGGACATACCACCCTGGGGCCTAATAAATTACAACTCCAGGGGAGAGGGCCACTTTGTCTAACAGTTGTTGTTTCTTTAGAATGAAGAGAAAGAAATGTTTCTTGCGCATGCGTATAAGGCTGTGTTTACATGAGGCGTTTCAACGCACCATGTACACAAAATGAATGGCGCGTTTACATGACGCATTGCGCTTGACCCGGGTTGAAATTTCGTACAAACGTACGTCTGTGCGTATCTCGTGCCAGGTTTGAATAGCAGTGCACTGGCAATTTTCGCGCGAAAGTATTCACGTGACCATACAGGACTCTAGAAGTGGACTTTTGGCGGCATATCAGTATTTGACCCGGGTCAACTGCCTTCATGTAAACGCTCACCTATTTTGTCTATCGTACAGACTTTCAACCTGGGCTGAACGGCAAACTCCGGGGCCAGTGAGGCAATAACATGGTCAAACTTGGCATCTTGTGTTATACCACGAATACGGAAGAGAGATTCCGCTTGGCTGAACCAAACAATGGGGCCAGTGGGCCAGTGCGGCGGTAATTTAAAGCTAACAGCTGATACAGCAGCAGGAGCTGGAGTTGCATGTGGCAACACAGAGAACCTGGGCTGAGGGCTGGCAGCTGTGGCAGCAGATGTTGCAGTTGGAGTTGATTGCAAACCCCCAGTGGGAGTTCCACTTCTTCATGAACCCCTCCTTTTTGTGGATGAGTGTACTCTGTATCATCCCATGTTACTCCACAAAAAAACAGAGCGCGAGATCGGCTGCGCAGCGCAGAAGGTTGGAGCCTCCTTAATTGAAAAATACTCGACGGCGTCACAAACTTTGCACGGTATTATTAATTAATTGAGGAGCAAAAAAAGTGTTACGAAACAGTCTGAATGCCAAAGGAAAAGAGTCAAGAAAGAGAGAAGGAAAAAGCAATACGGAGAGACAAATGCGCATATGGAAATTTGTAGATACAGTACGGTCCGCGCAGGGACGTATGTGAGCCGGTACACTGCACCTGGGAGTACACGGTACATGAATACAGTGCTGCACAAAGAAAGTCTACCGTACGGGAGATGTGTACAGGTCATGCAAACCAAAAGTACAAACATGACGAATGAGAAACCTGCATGACGAATATAAAAAAGGGAAATAAAAGTTGCTGATGCGATTTCATGATATGTAATTCTGTGCCAAAGTCCGAGTCTAGAGTCGTACTGCTACAGGAGCATGACAAGACCTTTTCACTGCGAATCGATATCTACTTTAACCGGTGTACCCGTCGGATTTTGTGTTGCCAAGCTTAGGGCCAGCTGGGCATGTGACAAGAAATATTCTGCCATAGTAAATCTGCCGCTAACGTGACAGACAGTGCTATAAAAGTATACTTGTGCGTGCGTGTGCGTGCTTGAGTGTGCGTGCGTGAGTGTGTGTGTGCGTGTGTGTGTGTGTGGTGTGTGTGTGTGTGTGTGTGTGTGTGTGTGTGTGTGTGTGTGTGTGTATGTAGAGAGAGAGAGACAGGGAGACAGAGAGACTACTCGTCCGCTGCCCATTAAGACAGATGTACAACGCCGTCGACCTTTTCTTGTGCACCATTGGGATGATTATTAATATCAGGCTGGACCACCATCCTGAAGGTGACAGACGTGGCTGTCTTCGTCACACAATATTGCCAGCCGATGCTCAGTTGGTGGGATAGAAAAGGGTTTGTGTGCATACACATCTTCTTGTGTGATCGCACAGGGATATACCAGCCGAAATATTGACTGACACTCGAGTTTGGCATCAGTATGTATACTGTACACATTTCTGTTATGACATTTTTTTGTTCTGCAGCCACTTGACGCGAGAAACCCAATGGTCCCATCCAAAAACGAATCGCATGAGAGTGCTGAGCAAAAGTTAGTCAATTACTCAACAGACCCGTTCAGGAGATTCAACGTTACATGTCTTTGGCTTTGCAGTTTCATCACTGTGTATTCCTTTGAGGATGTACTTGGCCTATTTCTTGTCACTCTTTGAAGGTGCTCTCAGTGTTCGTTTGTCGTACTCCACCAAGTCTAGCATGATTAACTTCATTCAGATTACGTTAACCTATTGAAGTAGACCGGGTTTTTTTTTTAGTGCAGGAAGTCGGCAGTCGGCTGTCGGAAGCTGCAAGAACGACTCGATGTCTTTCAATCCATTGAGGTGTTCTTTTCATTCTCAAAACGTTACTTGTATAAACCGCTTTTACCGGATTCTACCACCGTCCAACTCTGTAGCAGCGGCAGAGCTTGACACAGATGCCGGTACCGATTTTAGAAGAAATATTAGAGAGTTGTTCTACTCAAAGTGGTGAAGCTACCTGTACGGGTGGAGTAACGACGATCGCACCCACCCGGTGTAGACGTTTTTATGTGTGCACAGATATGACAATCCTGGATGGGGCTAGCATAGAACGCCATGCATACAGACCTTTTTGCGTAACATAATGAATTTACTATCAGTTCCTAGGAGTGTATGACTCACACACCAATGTACATGTCACGTGTATATTTCTTATCAAACAACCATTTTGAGTGTGTATAAACTACATGTATAAGGAATGGGCTGCTTGTCAGCTGGTAACCGCTCTGTTCAGTTTCTACTCGCTCGAATTCTCAGTCAAAGCGCTGAGTTGCTTTTAAGAATGGTTGTGTGTGTTAAAATTCTTCCACTGCTTGCTTGTGTGTGGATGCACAGCTTTACCACAAGGCTGGGTAAAGATGGAAGATGGCAGTTTCTATGAGTAAGTGCATGAAGTCAATATCTACCCTTGACTTCTTTGCAGTTCTTGTGTTATGCCGTGGAACTCCTGCAGATCCCCAAATACACTGCTGAGTACCATTTGGAAGGCGTTTGCTCTACCTGCTTGCCTAGTCCCTGTTTGTCTCATGGCGTACTGGATCTAGTGTGTGTGTGTGTGTGTGTGTGTGTGTGTGTGTGTGTGTGTGTGTGTGTGTGTGTGTGTGTGTGTGTGTGTGTGTGTGTGTGTGTGTGTGTGTGTGTGTGTGTGTGTGTGTGTGTGTGTGTGTGTGTGTGTGTGTGTGTGTGTGTGTGTGTGTGTGTGTGTGTGTGTGTGTGTGTGTGTGTGTGTGTGTGTGTGTGTGTGTGTGTGTGTGTGTGTGTGTGTGTGTGTGTGTGTGTGTGTGTGTGTGTGTGTGTGTGTGTGTGTGTGTGTGTGTGTGTGTGTGTGTGTGTGTGTGTGTGTGTGTGTGTGTGTGTGTGTGTGTGTGTGTGTGTGTGTGTGTGTGTGTGTGTGTGTGTGTGTGTGTGTGTGTGTGTGTGTGTGTGTGTGTGTGTGTGTGTGTGTGTGTGTGTGTGTGTGTGTGTGTGTGTGTGTGTGTGTGTGTGTGTGTGTGTGTGTGTGTGTGTGTGTGTGTGTGTGTGTGTGTGTGTGTGTGTGTGTGTGTGTGTGTGTGTGTGTGTGTGTGTGTGTGTGTGTGTGTGTGTGTGTGTGTGTGTGCTATTGTGTGCTATTGTGTGCTATTGTGTGCTATTGTGTGTGCTATTGTGTGTGCTATTGTGTGTGCTATTGTGTGTGCTATTGTGTGTGCTATTGTGTGTGCTATTGTGTGTGCTATTGTGTAATCAGGTAATACCCTACTCTCTTCTACCCTACTCTTTCTCTACTGGCTGTGTGCTGCTGCTGCTGAGTAGATTGACTTCCTAGTGCTTAGTTGTCTTGACTGGATCATAGCCTGGGTGGGGTCTGCCATGGGTGAAGAGCTAGAAAAGGCTACTCAAAGTCACCGGTGACATTGCCCCCACGCGTGTGCCTGTCTACACTGTCACACGATTGCACCGTGCTGTTCCTTGTTGACTGCAGTGAGGTGAGGAAGGCCGGATCCACTGTGGATCCACGCCTGCTGCGTGCGCCGAAGGAAGCCGATTACATTGGCTTTCGCGAGCGGGTGACGGACGATGGCAGCACCGTGCGAATGCTGAAGAGTACATTCAAGCCCACCGACACGGCTGATGACGTGCTCAGCGGTGTCAAGCTGGACGGCAAAGTGGCCATTGTAACGGGTGCTAACTCTGGCTTAGGTATGTGCACATCGTAAGACTTTCACATTTACAAGAGACTGTTCTACCTGTGTCCTGTTTTACAATTGTTGCGACTTGTGATATCATATAACGGCTGGGTTTCGTGTACTTCAGTAAGACTAATATGAGAGTTAGCCTACAAGAGATGTAGCTAAGTGGAATTGCAAATAGCAGTATCTCAACTCTTGAGTGAAAACTATAACTCATCCTAATACCTGGCATTTAATGTGCTGCTGCTGCTGCATTGTGTTGCAAGGTTATGAAGTGGCACGGTCGCTTGCCCAGCACGGCACCCACGTCATCATGGCGTGCCGTTGTCTGCACAAGGGCCATGTGGCGCGGAAACGAATCATCGATGAAATGGTATGGAGCTCGCCCAGTCCCTAGGCTATAGTCTGCTGTGTGGTGTGACTGCTGTCCATTAGACTGAGTTTACATTGCCCTCCGTGCCTGGTGTTATGTTTGATTGCTGGAGGGCCTGGCATTATGTTTGATTGCTGGAGGGCCTGGCATTATGTTTGATTGCTGGAGGGCCTGGCATTATGTTTGATTGCTGGAGGGCCTGGCATTATGTTTGATTGCTGGAGGGCCTAGCATTATGTTTGATTGCTGGAGGGCCTGGCATTATGTTTGATTGCTGGAGGGCCTGGCATTATGTTTGATTGCTGGAGGGCCTGGCATTATGTTTGATTGCTGGAGGGCCTGGCATTAAGTTTGATTGCTGGAGGGCCTGGCATTATGTTTGATTGCTGGAGGGCCTGGCATTATGTTTGATTGCTGGAGGGCCTGGCATTATGTTTGATTGCTGGAGGGCCTGGCATTATGTTTGATTGCTGGAGGGCCTGGCATTATGTTTGATTGCTGGAGGGCCTGGCATTATGTTTGATTGCTGGAGGGCCTATTCAAAGTACTAGTACATAGATAATCTAATGCTAGCCACTCGTTGCAAGTACTCTCAGCACCGGTATACCCCAATCCAGACCCCTTCCTCTCCCCCTGTGAACGAACCATGTAACATTGAGGTGTGCTGAGCAGTAGCAGCAGGTCAGACTGTCGGGCACGAACACAGTGCACCACCAATTGAATTCGTCGTTGCTGAGTTTACGTTCACTGTGTGTGTGTGTGTGTGTGTGTGTGTGTGTGTGTGTGTGTGTGTGTGTGTGTGTGTGTGTGTGTGTGTGTGTGTGTTTGCATGGGCCTGTGCCACTTGCAGCCGGGTTGCTTTGTTGACGTAATGGAAGTCGATCTAGCATCCTTCCAGAGCATCCGCCTCTTCGTCGAGGACTTCAAGCACAAGAAACTGTACGTGCTGCTGCTGCTGCTGTCAAAGATACATCTGACATGTGTGTGTCAAAGATACATCTGATGTGTGTGTTCAAAGATACATCTGACATGTGTGTTCAAAGATACATCTGACATGTGTGTTCAATGAAGCATATTAAAATGTGCATCGTATGTAACGCTGTTTATTTTTCTTTGAATGCTACTCTGATAATTTATGGAAGTTAGTCTGGAAGACAGATGTGATGTGTGTTTGTGTGTGTGTGTGTGTGTGTGTGTGTGTGTGTGTGTGTGTGTGTGTGTGTGTGTGTGTGCGTGCGTGCCCACATTGGATGCTTCAATAGCCAATTGAACTTTTTTTCTGAGATTTCTTTGAAATTTCTCTCCACCTACCCCACGGAATTCAAAGGCCAGTTGAGTCCTCTTTCCAATATCTCTTCGGAATCTCTATCCCCTGTCCCCGAGTGAAACCCACTTGACCGGCTTCTGGGGGTGAGCTAGAACAACTCTGTGTGTATGTATGCGTGCATCTGTGCGTATTTATACGTGTGTGTGTGTGTGTGTGTGTGTGCATGTGTGTGTGTGCGTGTGTGTGTATGTGTGCGTGTGTGTATGTGTGTGTGTGTGTGTGTGTGTACGTGTATGCATATGTGTTTGTGTGTGTACGTGTGTGTTGTTGTAACCTCCTTGCTAGCGCCCTGCACATGCTGGTGTGTAATGCGGCCGTGATGGGACTAGCATATCAGCAGACAATTGATGGCATTGAGGCCCATTTCGCCGTCAACTACCTCTCTAACTTCCTGCTGGTCAAACTCCTGCTGCCGCTAATGCTGGAGAGTGCGCCATGCCGGGTGGTGCTGGTTACATCTGAGGCACATTGGTCAGTAGTGGAGCATCGTGTATATGCATGTCTCATTGTGTGGACATGTGCCAGCGTATGTGCGAGTGCATATGTGTGTGTGTGGGGGGGGGGGGGGGGGTGCGTGTGTGTGTGTGCGTGTGTGTGTCCCATATGGTGCAGTGGTATGTGCAGCGATTTCCAATCGATAGGTTGCGGGTTCGATTCCCGACGATTATGGTCACACACGTCTTTCTTCTCTTTCTCAGACTCTTCCTGACTTTTCTTTCATTCTCCTGGGTGGTTACCAACAGCCAGTGTATGCCGGAGTATGTGGTGTGGTGTGTGTGTAGAAAAAAAAAGAAGAAAAAAAGAGAAAAAAATGGAAAAATGAAAAATAGGGATTCACTGGCCAGAAAAAGTCACTTCAAACAGCTGTGTGGTGGATACCAGGCTAAAAATTGTGGCGGTCAATTCATCAGCCTTGCAAGCTGTTGAATGGTGTAATCCCAGCACAAGTTGCTATGTCTAACATAGCTGTTCGCTATCATCGCTTCCGTGATGGGCATGTCTGAGGTCTGAGGTGTGTGTATTGATGTATTGGTGTGTACGCATGCATGTACATGTACTACTATACTCTATATGCATGTGTGTATGCGATTGAAATACGTGTGTACGTATCCATGCACACATGACGTACATGTATGCATGTTTGTTCATTCGTTTGTTCTCTACTTATAGGTATCCATACCTTTCTTCCGATACCCCACCAGCCAGCGTTGAAGCACTCCATCCCAGTGCTCAAGATTACTGGCCGACCTGTGCGTACAATTCCTCCAAGCTTTGCCTCCTGCTGTTCATGCAGGAGCTGAGCACGCGTCATGGCTCGCAGGGCGTATTCTGCAATGCCGTGCACCCAGGTAACCTCCTGTCCACCGCGCTCGGCCGACATTCCCTGCTGCTGCGCCTGCTGCAGGCGATGTCTTGGCCATTTGGCCGCTCTCCTGTAAGTATGAGGAAAGGGGATGGACCGTGGGAACTTGCGAATCTAGTTTGGGCTGAATTCAACCTCAAAACTGCAGCTTCGGAGCTCACGATGTGGGCTCTGGATCTGTGGCTCCTGCAGATTATGATGTGTAAACTCTAAACCCTCTCTGATTATGTGAAATCTGACCATAGCTTGCTCTATTACCGTTGATTATTGTGACCTCAAACTTCAATACCGGTACTTCAAAGTAGCAATCATTGCCATGTAATGGGGAAATCCAGGTTTCATGGTTACCATGGTTACTAGTATTCAAGAAAACCCAACGACCTGTGTTTAAACGGACTGACTGGAACTGGTGATTCCTTATCCACGGTCAGTTGACTGGAAATGGTGAGACATTTTGGTGTTGGCTTAGTTAGTGGTCCTCTGGCACGGGTGGTTGCCTTTTCAGAGTGGCCAGCTTGCCAGTTGTTGCTGTACATTTGTAGGCAGCGGATACCCAGGCAACTAGTGCTGTTGTCTTCTGCATCAACTCAATCCCTTGTGACGTGATCTTGTCATATTCAGAACAGCATCCGCATGTATGTCATAGTCTCTTGCGCCGTGCCTTTACAGTGTTGCTTGCACCAGACCCCTGAGCAGACCAAGTGTGCAATCAATCAGCCTCGGCTAGGCTGCTTTCTTACTGTGAAACTGCCGTTCTCTTTATCCTGCAGGCCCAAGGCGCTGCTGTGATTGCGTACTGCGCTGCCGCTCTGGACCTGGAGCATGTCGGTGGCTACTACTTCGTGGAGCACAGGATTGGCAGCCCGTCCAAACTGGCCAAGGACCAGCAGCTGTCCAGCGACCTGTGGGAGTTTAGCGAGCGACTTGTGGCTGGCCTTAAGTCTACATCAAGAAAATAGGACTGAATAGGAAAAAACATATCTTAGGAATGTTCATACAATGACTTCATACCTTAGGAATGTTCATACAATGACTTCATATCTTAGGAATGTTCATACAATGACTTCATACCAACCCTGTGCATGTACACATGTAGGTAGTCTTGCCCTGCAAGCTACACTTTTAGCACGCTTGTCTTCTTATCACATCATTGCTGTGTCCTTTCTACCGACAATTTGCTGCTGTTGCTGCTAGTGGTTGCAACGTCACAGCTAGCTTTGCAGTACACCATTACTGCTCCTGTGTCCACTGTCGCTATTTCAATCGACTTGAGAGCTCAGGTGGCAATGCCTCCTCGGAGTCCGACTTTGCCTCTTCTTTGGCATAAGCCTTAGAATTCGGAACATCTTGTGTCCTCCACATCCTCTACTTTTCTTTTCATCTACATGTACTGTGTTTGCTGCGCTGGTGTAGGAGTTTCTTAAAACATATTTTAATATAGAACTCAATGTGTGTGTGTGTGTGTGTACGCGTGTGTGCGTGCGTGTGTGTGTGTGTGTGTGTATGTCCCATATGGTGCAGTGGTATGTGCAGCGATTTCCAATCGATAGGTTGCGGGTTCGATTGCCGACGATTATGGTCACACACATCTTTCTTCTCTTTCTCAGACTCTTCCTGACTTTTCTTTCATTCTCCTGGGTGGTTACCAACAGCCAGTGCGCATGCCGGAGTATGTGGTGTGACGTGTGTGCGGGAAAAAATAAAATAAAAAGACCAAAAAGTAGGAATTCTCTTGTCCACAAAAAAAACACTTCAAATAGCTGTGCAATGCAGACCATGTACCAGGCTGAACAGTGGCGGTCAATTATTATTGTTCAGCCTTGCAAGCTGTTGAATGGTGCACTCCCAGCACATTAATTTTGCTATGGCTTCTGCTGTAACATTGCTCTCATCACCGCCGGCGTCTGGTGATGGGCGTCAAAAGAAGAGAAGAAAGGTCAAAGACGTGTGTGGGTGCATAATGTGAACCCTGAAGCAAGTACTGGTACACATTGCTCAGTTACTATTGGACCAGGCGGTTGGATTTCTCTGGCCGTGGCAGTAATTGTATACATTGGCGAGGTTTCTCACTTTGAAGCACGCATGTACTACTAGTAGTATACTATACACATCCTCCGTTATATTGCCCTGAATTGGGGTGTCCCCCCCCCCCCCCGAGTTAATTTCCAATGCAGTACAAAAAATACGAAGTGTTCCTACATGTAATACAGAGTACTAGTTGTGGTAGTTTAAAATAATAGGGCCAAATTTCGGTTTTTCCCCAATTTTCCTTTCCATGTTGTATTTAATATAGCTATGAATAGGATGAAGGCCGCAGACATCATTAATCTGCATATACAGCTCTTTATTACTAGACTCTCTTTTATCATTAAAATTTTGGTTTCCCACTCTCTCTCCCACACACACACATGCTTACAGTCAATTCTGCCGTCGTGAGTCCCATTCGGGACGGATACAAGAATAGTAATAAAAAATTGGTGCAGAATGTGCTGCAAAATGTGATAAGGAGGACAGACTCTGCAGAAACAGAAATCCTAGGGTAGATGTTTGTCTCTTGTTTCTTGATGCGAGAACTCTCCAGGGTACCTTACACTGTGCCCCACCCAATCGCAGAGAACCTGTCTGAGTCGGTGACATATCTCTACACCCTGATAATTATACTTGTAGCTGACAAGCATGGCATAACACACACACACACACACACACACACACACACACACACACACACACACACACCTTGAAACTGCCACCTAAAGGTGATGCAGTGCCTCAAAGAGGCAAGGAGGTCAGAGTTACTTCTTGCGTTTGTGTTGAGCCAGGTACTGGAGACGTGTGAACTTCCGAGAGCAGGTCGGGCATGGGATGGTGCGGCGCTCGGAGCCAGAGCTGCATGTTCTGCGGTTGCAGTTGTGCCGGCGGTGCCCAGCTTTGCTCCGGAAACAGCGGTCACAGGTGTGGCAGTGGTAATGACATTGGCTGCAATCAGGTGGGCGAGGTGCAACAATCTCTGGAACTGGAGCGTCACCAAGACTGGGAGAGCAGCTGTGCACAGCAAATCCACCTCGGCTAGCAAACCAACGATGGCACGTTTCCACACACACACACACACACACACACACACATCCATCCATCATACACTTCCACATGCCTCCAGCGATGATAGCGAACAAGGTATGTTTAATAGACAAACTGACAAAGCAAGCTTGTGCCGGGACACCATACACACCATACATGCCACAAACCCACATACTTCACCCCACGCACATAATATTATACCACTTACTTACACAGTCATGCTCATTGCTGAAGCGATGATAGCACACACACACACACACCAATACAAATCACGAAATGGAGCTGTTCTATTGTACTGAAGCGATGAGCACACACACACACGCACTCCCCCCCCCCCCCCCCCCCACACACACGCCAATACAAGTGTAGCTGTTCTGTTGTACTATACGCGTCATGTGATTGTAGTTGTCAAACAGAAATATCCATCGAAACCAAATGTAAGAAAAATAGACACCAGCAAATTCAGCGGTCGCTAGAAAAAGACAGACTACCTAGGAGGATTGTTGTCTCCTATACTTGAATGAGATAACATGAACAAATACACAGTGCATACATGTATGTACCCGTGAGCTGGCCATGGGAAACCAAGGACCAGAGGCTAGTTTGCAGTCGATAGTGTGATACAAAAAAATAGGTAAAGAATGCAAGACGGGGGAGGGAGTGTGGGGAACAGCACGAGGTAGCTATGCATGCGGTGAGTGGCGACTAGGCGAGAAAGCAACGTGAGAACCGTACATTGAGAATCAGCACAGCTCCATGCAGAGCGAACAGGAAGGGAATAAATAAAACATCTGCAAGGCAAGGGGGGGGGGGGGGTATCAGCAAAGTTTGGGGGTTGGGAGGGGGTATGAACAGTTTCGACTAAGCCTGCTGTTGTGCGATGGTCACACAGATAAATATCATTTCGTGCTGATAGTGGCAAAAGATTTTGTAAAGGAAGATACATGTCAAAGATGCACTACAACCGGCAAAGGTGGTAATGATGATGATGATTTTCATGATGGTTCACATATGTGCATGTCAAGCTGGGTCCGAGAGAAGGGAAGGCAACAGCAAGATGGAAAAATAAGGTGCTGATAGAACAGAAACGGTGAACGACATAACCGATGACCATAGCAAGAGAAAGATTGAGAGAAAATAGAAAGAAGAAGAGAAGACTTTCGCCGCTAAGGAGCACCGCACAGAGAAGTCAAATCTATGGAGCGCCGGCACAATGCACCTGCATGTGGAACTAGGAGTAGGAGGGAGAATGTCACCAGGCCAGTGTGCAGTGTGAGTGTGTGCTATTCATGGCCTGGCCTGGTACTAAACGTTAGTGGCAGAATGCATCAATGAAGGGTTAGTGGTAGCTGATATATGCATACGCAGTCCTGCACAGCCATACGCTGTCACGATGACTTACCTGTGTCAGACTCAGCAGCAGCACCGCCATGGATGGACAACATCGACTTCATTCTGGCAAGCGGCTCGGGAACGTCCACACTGGCGGCGAGCTTCTGTACCTCTGTCTCGCGCCGCTCGTAAGACTCAATGATGCGATGTGCCACGCCATGCCGCTTGATCTTGCTACGCCGGGTGCTCCACTGCCTCATCAAGTTCTCTTGGTGGATAATACCAGACTTCTTGCTGGGGCTTTCAACTTGGGGCTTCAGCTGCTTGTTAACATTGGCTGATCGACGGATTGAGGTACCGGTAGTCTTACTTGGGCTCTCTTGGACGTCCTTCCACTTGATGTTGTCGGAATCAAGCGAGTCAATACTCGGTTTCCGATCCAATGGCTGCAAAGTACAGTCCGTAACGCTGTGAGTCGGAGTAAGAAGATGCTTATCCTGTTCAACATGTAGCTCTGAGCTTGGGGTCGGATCCCCAGTCTCGCTGCTGCTGCTGCTGTCATGAGCAACTTCCAACTGCACAGTATTGTTGACGGTGACTGCCTGCGTGCTTGCTGTCGAGTCCTCTTCACCATTGTCAGAAAAGCCTACATCGCTGGTATAAGGCGACGAGCTAGCAAGTTCTGTCTGTGAGGGCGACTCCTTGACACCAGCAAGCATGGCTCGTCCAGGTGGACGGGCAGGACTGAGCATGATAGGAGGATCTGCAGATGATGAGCTGAGTGCCGATGATTGCTGGGAATTGGGAAGAGACAGGTCGCCGGTAGAGCGCTCCAGAGTAGATGTGAACTGAATGCCTCTTTCTTCCACATCGGCGATCGAGTCCACTATTGACGATGCATTACTACTGGTCGGATGGTCAAACACATCATCGCTGGAACCTGCACGGTGTATTACTCCAGACTTGAGTGACGCCACAGAGTCATTAGCCGGTGCCTGTGTAATACTGGCAACTGACATTCGACTGGACGTCACGGAGCCTAGATCACTACTCGAACCAGCGCATACACTGACAGTACTCTTTGACGTTCTCTTTGGCTTGGCGGGTTTGCATGCAGAAGGCATGCGATCATCACCAGTACTATGCAGAGATCCATGGCTTGCTTCAGAGACACTGGCGGACAGTCGGTGTCCCGAGGTACTTGGTGATAGAGAACGACCGGCCGCCGGCATATCCGATGCCGACTTAGTCGAGCAAGGGGACATTGCATCTTTCGATGGCCCAATAGACGATGCATCGTTGCACGGCGAGCGCGAGCGTGGGCTGCGCTTTGGCTTGAGTGGCTTGCTCGTCGGGTGTGACCTTGTAGATGTTGGTGAGTTCACCGGACTGTCGGTTTCCACTTTCATGCCCAGGCCATTGCGGTTGCCACGCACCGGTGCCAACAGTTGCTCAAACTCTGTACACATAGCTTTGTAGGTTTCCGATGACTCAAAATCCTCCTCAACTGGACGTACCGTTTCTCGACTTCTCTGCTTCCTAAGAAGCGTTGTGAATGACTTCCTTTGGCGCCTGGCATCGCCGGCTAGTTTCAGTGGCATAAGCGAGGGAGCCGCATTTGCCAACGAGCCTGCTCTGGCTTTGGTGACGTGCAGCCCAGTGTCAAGGGTTAGGAGATCACTCCTTTTGTACGACATGGAGTTGCTGCGATTCCGCTTTGCCAGCTTCTCCGTCGACGCGTCAGCAGATTTAACGCTTGAGCAATCTCCGCTTTCCGGCTGCACCCTGATGTCCTCCATTGAGATGGAGCGGCATGCTAAGCCATGCTGCTTCTCTTGGTGTATCTCCCCGACACCCGGCAAAAAAGAAACGGACATATCGCCGTCATACTGGGAAATTGTAGATATAAACTTGCTGTCGGTACGTACATCAGAAGTACTGCCTGTACTGATGTCTTCTTCAGTCAGCTCCACATTTCTTTGCGAGGCAGTTATGGAGAGGCTGGGTGCCCTCTTTATTTTTGGTGCATATCTGGCAGGAGCAGCACTGCTACATGTACTACGACGCTGTTGTGGCTGTTCAGATACTGACAGGCTAGGTGTTCGTCGAACCATGCCAGTTTTAAGCGATGGGCTTACAGAGTTCGAAGACATGTTACTGCTCCGACGCGATTGGTCAGTGAGTGACGGTGACTTGGTGAAGCGAGACAGAGTTTTGGCAAC